AGCCGAGGCGAAACTGTTCTTCCCTGACACCAATCTAAGAAAATGTTCTAAAGCATCACAATTCTAAAAATACCCGCTGGTGAGTGTCAGACCCACTACACATCTGAGAAGAGGGGAAATAGAGAAAGCTGAGAACATAAGCCGACATCACATAAAAAGGAACTGAAATGGAAATATAAAAACCCAAAGATCTATAAAAGAAAGGGTGTATGTAGTGCTGTAAATGAGTTATTTGTCTGACCCCAGATGTCGGTTTCCATAGTAACCATTGCTTGATTCTTTGGCACAAATATTACATGACTGCTAATATATTAAATGAGTACTTTTCTCTTTTAATTATAGATTGGCTAAAATAATATCCTCGCTCTTTGGAAGCAGGTTTTTGGCATTGGGGGCCTTTGCTTTCCTAAATCAAAGCTGCATTAGTGCATTTTAATTTGCCTTTCTACTTCACCTTTCCCCACCCCATTTTTTTTCTTTTTTCTATTAAGATTCTTTTCAAGGAACATTCATACATCACTGTTTGTCATAGTGAAAACCAGAAACAGACCAAGTCTTCATTAGTGAACGATTAGTGAATAAGTCATTGTATGAGGTAGACTTCTCTCAAAAACAAAACAAAACAAAACAAAACAATACAAAACAAAAAAACCCCAGGGCTCCTCGGAGACATAAGCAATTCCAGGGATCAGAGAAAACATAAAATTAACCTGGACGATCTCGTGGTGCTAGAAAGTAAGGAAGTGCTTGAGAAATGATGGGGGCCATGTCAAAGGACACAATAACCGCCTCGAAGGAGCCCCCCGCAGCCAAATCTGGGAGGCTGTATCAGGCCTCAATCTAATAGCAAATGTTAGCAAATTATGAACAAAAAAATTTTTTTATTGAAGTTAATTATTTATTTTTATGAATGGCTATAGTCCTTTTAATGGACTACTGGGAATTGCCTAATAATTTACAACTGAGATTCTATTACCTCATACTCCTTGTGGCCATATTTTCTACAACAAAATGTGTGCCTCCATTGGGGTGGTTTAACAAAATATTTGAAATTAGAATGGTTTAAAAATTTAAGATATATGGTTGATACACACACACGCCCAGCAGTGCATGCTTCTGTTCTGCCTAAATTGGCAGTTCCACATTTGCTCACTAGGTGGCACTTGGCCAATGTAAGGCTAATGTAAGAGGAAACTGATGAACACCAGGATAAAAGGCCAAAGAGGAACTTGCTCACTTGGATTGGCAGTCCCCTGGGGCTCATTGAAAGGGTTCATTTGACTGAGCCTGTAGTGTACTCCTATCCTGGACTTGAGGTGTTTGGGATTTAAATCATTCTCAGATTTGGGCTTCTTTCAGTACAGACGCAGCAGGCCAGAGAGTGTAGTGGCCCAGGTACAAGTTGTCACAGCTCTGGGCCCCTGACAGGCAGAATTAGGGGAGGTGCTCCAGGTCCCTCACTGAATCCCAGGCCTAGTACGGTACTCAGGGTGAAGTGAGGGTGTTGAATGGACGGGTACACATCTTTGTTCTTCGAATACGGTTTAGAGGAACCCACTGTGCTCTAGAAATATCTGTCAGTGCCATGCATTTGAGCACCCCGGGCAGGAGATGAGCAGTGACTGCCTCTGTGGTGCCTGTCATACCCTGAATGTACATTTGTGTCCCCTGCAGGTGCTGTTAGATCTTACAAACAAAAGGGGTGTGTCATGCTGTGCTCTAAGAAAGCTTTTCTCTGAGAAGACCTTAGACACTCCTGTTAGAATTTACAAGGAGTATGGCATTCGGTATGCTTTTGTATGTGCTGCTGGCTAAGCATAAGCATAGAGTTTCGACTCTAGCTTCCAGAACCTGAACAGGGTACGGAACCTTTTGCAATGAATGTTTAACAGTCAGACCGTCTACACTCTACTCAGGTTCCTAGAGTACTCCCAGGATCAGAACAACCCGTAGGCGTGCCCTCCAGTAGCTGAGGCAACTACAAGAGAAAGATCCAGAACCCTTGGTTCTGGGTTCAAATCCCGATTCTGCTATTAGTCCTGGATCTTCAATAATTGTACAATCTTTTAAATCTCAGTTTCTTCATCGGCCAAGTGAGGGTGTTAATACTAACTTTCTTCATTTATCCAATCAACCAACATAATTTTTGAGTTCCTCCAGGACCTTACAGTCTGGTGTGCTTGGCCAATGTGTCTCCCAGTATTGGCTCTTTTGAATAACAATGTATTTAAACTGGAGATGGATGGTGGTGATGGAAACACAGCGTGTGGATGTACCACCACCAGACTGTGTACTTAAAACGGTGAAGGTGAAAATGTTCGTGTTATGTGTATTTTACCACAATTAAATAAAGTAGAAAAATATATATATATATATGTCCAAAGAACACAGCATGATCCTGGCACAGTAGGCACTCAGGTCGGGAGTGGTAGTGACAAGGAAGACCAAACGGAGGGTTTTCTCCTAGATACAAGTACCCTGGCACAATTAGACCAGTCCGTGGGGAGAAGCGGCCTTTTCTGGCCCGTACGGAGCACACCACCAGGCCCGCAGCGGGAGGAACACTGCCGAGCCTCTGCGGGACGCATCCTGACTCCTTGTCTCCAGCTCAGGGTGGGCTAATGCCTTCCCGTGTCTCAGACGTCGTCCCGGAGTACATGAACTGAACGGCCTCAGGCAGAATGCCTCAGTGCAGTTTCTGGAATTCGGTTCCACTTTTCATAACGAAGACAGGGTTTAGGTAATGACTAGCGGACAAAGAATAAAGTTCAGTCCGCTTGGGGACTAACGGACCAAACCTTTGAGGTCGGTACCTTGATGACCGAGAATTCAGGCTCAGGGATTATTCTGAGTAGAGGACGAAGAGCACTAGCACAGTTTTTCTTTTTCACTTTCCTTCTGTTTTTCATTTTGGGGGGGTATAGAGGGAAAAGGGTGAAGAATGAAGGAAGACTCGCCTTTTTTTTTTTTTTAAATCAGGAGTTATGGATAACTCCCGAGTACCTGTGCAAATGAATACGATTAACTTCACTACTCCAGAAAAAAATTTTAATCCCAAAGTCATTTATTTTGGCTTTAGAATAGACTAGCATTTGTGTCGGATTTTCTTGCCTAATTACTTTTTGCTTAAGCTTATTCTAAAATTGTTTTAAATTCCTTTAGTGTGACAGCCCAGGGAAGCGGTGGGGGGGCGGGGAACAGGCCACAGATAGGATCTGAACTAGAATGGCAGCTTTCCTATAGAAAAGCCCCTTCATATGCTGCCAGTGGGAGAGCAAACTTGGAATCAGCTTTCTGGAGAACAGTTTGGCAAAATGATTTTTAAAGGCTTAAAAATATGCTTACTCTTTGATCCAGTAATTCCACTTCTAGGAATTTGTCCCAAGGAAGTAATCAAACAAGCCTGCAGAAATGTAGGGACACGGCACTCACCACCACATTTGTATCGGCAAAAACAAACAACAAACAAAAAGAAGAAGGAGAAGACGAAGAGAAGAAGAGGAAGAGGAGGAGAAGAAGAAGGAGAAGAAGAAGAAAGAAGAACCAATGGAAAGCATTGAATAATATGGAATTGGTCAAATAAAGTATGGTCCTGTCTGTCTCCAATGTGTGTAGTCGTGTTGTCAGATTGATTATAGACTTTAAAAATGTTTACCACATCTTTCTAAATGAAAAAGAGAATAAAATTAGTGGACACGGTTTGAAACCGTGCCTAGATGCAGAGATGGGTGGGTAAGAAGAGCGACGGACAGACGAATGAGTGAGGGGACGGATGCCTGTCTAGAGAGACACGTCCTGCGGTGTTAACTTTGGCGTTGTTGAGGGGCGAGTGGTGAGATTATGGCTGATTTTGTATTTTTTGTGTGTTTTTTCAGATTTTCTGTTTGAACGTGTATTGCTTTATAATTAGAAAACCAACAGCCCTATATTTTAAAAGGATATATGTTTAATGTATCAATGAAAAAGTAAAATGTTGCTATATAATACCCACAAGGTGGGTAATGTGAAGGCACATGATGTAGATTGAATGTATTTTCTTAAGGGTCACATTGCATACAAGTGAATTACGAGCAGTCATACTGAATACGTAAAATCACACGTACCGTGTATTAAATTATGTTTCCCAAGAAAAAGGGCCACATTCAGCAAAAATCTGTGAAGGCACAATTAGAGTATAATGTGCGTGTCCTATGTTCTGACACCAGGACTAGGCGGTAGACTCTTAGAACCGGGAATACCGCAGTTTGGCTTTCTGGTATTTTCCTGTGAATTATATGTAAGACACATACATTATCCAGATAACACTAGAACAGTCATTCTTAATTGTCTGAAAGTAAGTCTCGCTTACATTTTCTACTATTTTCCCTTTCTTACCTCATTATCATCACACAGAACTCCAAAGAGTGAAAGCGTAAGGTAAATGATAGGCAAGCACAGACCCCCCAAGGACCCCAGACTAGCCCTTGGCTTACATTTTAAAGAACTCTGCTTTATATAACCAGCTGCAGGGGAATTTGTTCGTCACTGTTTGCGACCTCAGCTCTGTACACAGGATGGGCTCCTCTTTTATTTACGGTCCCTAATTCCCAAAGACACCATGTGGCTTCGCCGAAGGAGAAACCTGGCAGGTCTGGCTCCCTGTCGTCCCGGGTCAGATGGAAAAGCCTTTTGTGATTAATTCGACCACACTGTGTCCTTTGGTATTTGCAACTTCAGTGGGAGTTTTTATTATCCACATTTTGAATCCTGACTTAGATAAGCTGCATATAATGGAAAAAGCAGGGAAATCTAGCCCTTTGGAGGCCAAATCGAATCCGCGTTGTACCACTAGCTGTGACCTTGAGCAAGTTCCCTTAACACGTCAGGTCCTCAGTTAGGAGAGTGGCGCCTTCCCAGCTCACCTCCCAAAGCTGTTATTTGACAGCCAGGAAGTTTTGTCCCTGTGAGGGATGGTTACTGGTCTTTATAAACAAGCTGCCTTCTCACTTTGTTTCTGACAGTTTCCTTATGCCGCCCCGCCTCCCCAAGAACCTGTGAAGACTCTGAGAAGCCTGATCAACATCCGCAAGGACACACTGAGACTTGTAAAGTAAGTTCCCCTGGGGCTGGGGCTCAGGCCAAGTTCTAGGTATAGGGCAGCTCCCTGCCCCCAAAGACTTGCAAAGCATTTTCTGCCAGACCCAGAGTCTCATTCCACTGGCCTCAAGGATGTGAACTGCCCTGGCAGTGATCAAGCACCTTTGTCCGTGTAGATTAGGTCTTCCTGGGTCTAGATTGTTTAGAACTTTATGTGATAGTCTGTGTTTGTGAAAGACTGCCCCCTTTCCCGGAAGCAGTCTTTACTATCCTTGTTTTATGATTTAAAAAACGTATTGGAGCACCTGGGTGGCTCAGTCAGTTAAGGGTCAGACTTTTGATCTCAACTCACGTCGTGATCTCATCATGATCTCGTGGTTCGTGAGTTCGAGCTCCTGACAGCAAGGAGCCTGCTTGGAATTCTCTCTGCCCCTCTCTCTTCCCCTACCCCCTCGTGCTCTGTCTCTCTTAATTTTTTTTTAATGCTTATTTATTTTTGAGAGAGAGGAAGAGATAGAGCATGAGCAGGGGAGGGGCAGAGAGAGGGGAAGACACAGAATCCGAAGCAGGCTCCAGGCTCTGAGCTGTCAGCACAGAGCCCGACGCGGGGCTTGAACCCACGAACCATGAAATCATGACCTGAGCCGGAGTCGGACGCTTAACCAACTGAGAGCCACTCAGGTGCCCCTCTCTCTCTCAAAATGAATAAATAAACGTAACAAAAAATTATTGAAGGCAAAAGTGAACTTTGCAGCTACCTCAGCAAGGTTGTGGAAAAATGGGATATTTGAAGTTGGAATATAAAATCCTTATTTTATTGCTTAGATTTTCTTTTTAATTTATTCTCCATCTCATGTGTCCTTCCTCTGAGGCCTCCTCGTGCCCCGTCCGGTTGGCTCATCGTCATCATCAGTATCAAGGATCATCAGCATTTGCCTCCTCTGTGCGGTCCCTAAGATAGTGTAATTTTTACACTGATGCTGACCTCCAGATGGCGTGCTAATCTGATGCCCACTGGTCTCCTGGGACGACAGCTTTGGCCAGGGCAAATCACAGCTCTCAAATTTTTCTGAACGGACAAGAGGACTCAAGAGACCATCTTATGCCTGTATAGCTCAGTCCTGTTAGCAGTAGGAAGTTTATTTCAGATCATTGTTTTTTAATTTTTATTTATTTTTGAGAGAGAGAGAGAGAGAGACATCGTGAGAGTGGGGGTGGGGGCAGAGAGAGAGACACACACAGAATTGGAAGCAAGCTCCAGGCTCTGAGCTGTCAGCACAGAGCCTGACGTGGGGCTTGAACTCACAAACCCCTGAGATCATGACCTGAGCCGAAGTCAGACGATTAACTGACTGAGTCCCCCAGGTGCCCTCTGATCAATGTTTTTAAGATATAACTCGGGGTGTCTGGGGGACTCAGTCAGTTAAGCGTCCGACTTCGGCTCAGGTCATGATCTCACAGTTCATGGGTTCGATGCACCCATGTCAGGCTCTGTGCTGACAGCCAGCTCAGAGCCTGGAGGCTGCTTCCGATTCTGTGTCTCCCTCTCTCTGTGCCCCTCCCCCACTTGCTCTCTGTCTCTGTCTCTCAAAAAATAAAATAAAGACTTAAAAAAAAGATATAACTTATATACTGTACAATATGCCCATTTAAAGTGTGCAGTTGAGTGGCTTTTAGTATATTCAGAGTTGTGCGGTCATCACCACCTTCTAATTTTAGCACATTTTCATCACCCTCAAAAGAGACCCTGAACTCACCAGTGGTGACTGCACACTTCCTCTGAAGCACCTCTTCCAGGCCTAAGCAACCACTAATTTACTTTCTGTGTTTCTCTCCTGATTTGTATACAGTATTCCATTTGTCCCTGCTTCCCCAGCGATTTCCCCAGCCGCAGAGTCAACGCTGGGGAAGAGGCCGCCAAGGCAGTGCTCTTTGCGGGGGCCAGTTCACACCGCAGCAGAATGGATGGAGGCCCACTAGGCCTCCGTCACTGTCTCCACTTTCTCTCACCACATAAGTCCTTTCCCATCCGTAGAGAGCGACACCACTCTTTACCTTCCATGGCTGTTGTCAGAATTCAGCAAGATAACAGGAGGAAAAACACCTGCTGTTCAATAAACGTTAAGGTGAAGGGTGTTTGGGGTCTGTTTTTCAGAGATCATGGGAATCGGTAGGGTAAATTCAGATTCACAGATTTCCAGGTAAAGATGGAGGATTGGACAGCTCCTTTTGCTTCCTGTCAAAACCCGCTAATGAGAGTATTTTTCAGAAGCATAAATCCACGGGCGCCTGGGTGGCTCAGTCAGTTAAGCTTCCGACTCTTGGTTTCGGCTCAAGTCATGATCTCACGGTTTGTGGGATCGAGCCCCTCATGGGCTCTGTGCTGACAGTGCAGAGACTGCTTGAGATTCCCTCTCTGTCCTTCTCTCTCCGCCCCTCCCCGCTCATGCTCTCTCTCTCCCTCTCAGAATAAATAAACATTTTTTTTAAAAGCATAAACCCCGGGGTGCCCAGGTGGCTCAGTCAGTTAAGTGTCTGACTTCGGCTTAGGTCATGATCTCATGGTTCGTGGGTTTGAGTCCCACACCGGGCTCTGTGCTGACAGCTCGGAGCCTGTATCCTGCTTCAGTTTCTGTGTCTCCTTCTCTCTCTTTGCCCCTTTCCTGCTTGTGCTCTCTTTCTTTCTCAAAAATAAATAAACATTAAAAATTTTTTTTCAATAAAAAGCATAAATTCATAAGAGCTGGGGGAGGGGGGCATATAGGAAATGAGGAAATAAAAAACCAAACCTCTCGATTTAAAGGCTGGGACAGATGGTAAGGGTTAACTCAGCAGGCTGGGGAACTAAGGATCCCACGTGAGGAGAACGAAAAGCTGAGAATCACCCAGTTAAACTGTGACTCCCCCCCAAAGGCTCAGGAAATGCCAGGACCAGGACCTCTGGACATTGAGGTGCAAGGCTAAGATGAAGAGCATTGGTGGAAAGCCTGCACTGGAGGCGGTCAGATCCTTCTTTATGCCACATAGCCTGGTGGAAGGCTGGCAGATGATTCCCAATGAAAAAGATAAAACAGAGACTGGACTTGGGGGCCGAGGTACAGTGAAGTTTGGACTCAGTATAAAAAAATGGGGGCTAAGGGGGTTAGGTACATTGGTTACTGAACCCTCCAGCCAGCCCTCCACCCAACACTCTCTGCCCCCAGAATGCTAGCTGCCAGGCCCTCATCCAAAGAGAAGAGCACTGTCTCCAAGGAGCAGGACCCTCCCAGATAGGAAGACCCAAGAGACTGGCCTTGGAGTTTCCTCCAAGACCCAGATCAGTCCCTGGGGAAGCCCAGGGTCCCCAAACCCCACCGTGCATTCAGATTCCAATGGGGGTTTTAATTTCTTAAATAGGAGCAGACAACCAAAGATGTGCTGACAGCTCAGAGCCAGGAGCCTGCTTCAGATTCTGTGTCTCCCTCTCTCTGCCCCTCCCCATTCATGCTCGGTTTCTCTCTGTCTCAATAATAAATAAACATCAAAAAATTTTTTAAAAAAAGTATTTATGACCTAGAACTCTATTCAACCAAACTTTCTTTGTTTTTAATTTTTATTTATTTATTTTGAGAGCGAGAGAGAGAGAGCACACAAGTGGGCTCCACACCATCAGTACAGAGCCCGAAGCGCGGCTCAAACTTACCAATGGTGAGATCATGATCTGAGCCGAGATCAAGAGTAGGACGCTTAACCGACCGCGCCACCCAGGCACCCCTCAACCAAACTTCCAGTCGGGGTGGCTGTAGAATAAAATCTCAAAACGTTGATCCCTCCAACACATCCCTTTTCAGGAGACTAGTGGAGGAGGTGCCCAGCCACAGTGAAAGCATGCCCCGAGGAAGAAGAAGCCAGGAGATGCAGGAAAGAGGTGGAGGGGACTTCCCAGGGTAATGGGGGGGGGGTCCGGGTGGCCGCGTGCAGGCACAGAGGTCCTGGGGTCCACATAGGACCCCCTGTAGAAGAAATGCATGGAACACCCAACGCTTCTGGACATGGAGAGATTTCAATGGACAGCCAGCTGAGGGCTAGCGTTTGAATTCGTGATAAAGTACTGAGAAAACTGAGCAACTGAAAAAGAAATGCGCACAAACACCAAGAAAAATGTAAAAATACTTAAAGATTACTCTGTGTCTAAGCTGGGAACCATGTCCATATAATCACAATAATACAGACACAGATGTACTGAACTAGCAGAATCAAGATAGAGCATATGAGGGGCGCCTGGGTGGCTTAGTCGGTTAAGCGTCCGACTTTCGCTTAGGTCATGGTCTCGCGGTTCGTGGGTTTGAGCCCCACGTTGGGCTCTGTGCTGACTGCCAGCTCAGAGCCTGAAGCCTGTTTCAGAGTCTGTGACTCCCTCTCTCTCTGACCCTCCCCTGCTCATGCTGTCTCTCTCTCTCTCCTAGAAATAAATAAAACATTAAAAAAAATTTTTTAAAAAAAGAAAATAAACTTAAGAAAAAAAAGATAGAGCATATGAGGGGTTTGGGGGGGAGGGGATGCTACACATGGGGCAGCACAAGGAAAGAAAAATTCTGGTTCCCATAGTGCGAAATCAGTGGATAGCACCTGGAACTGAGAAGTCCAGATACAACAAGTGGGGCGTCAGGGTGGCTTAGTTGGTTAAGCGTCCAACTTCGGCTCAGGTAGGCTCTGTGCTGCCAGCTCTAAGCCTGGAGTCGGCTTAGGACTCTGTGTGTGTGTCTCTCTCTGCCCCTCCCCCGTTTGTGCTCTGTCTCTCACTTTCAAAAATAATAACATTAAAAAAATAATAAAAGAATCCAAGCATGTTGTCTAGAAAACAGGTAAATGCCAAAATGATCAGCTAAAAGAGGTAAAGATGTCTCTGAATTAAAAAAAAATTTTTTTAATGTTTTATTTCTGAGAGAGAGAGAGACAGTGTGAGCAGGGGAGGGGCAGAGAGAGAGGGAGACACAGAATCCGAAGGAGGCTCCAGGCTCTGAGCTGTCAGCACAGAGCCGGATGCCGGGCTTGAACCCAAGAACTGTGAGATGATGACCTGAGCCAGAGTCGGATGCTTAACCGACTAAGCCCCCCAGGCGCCCCATAAAGATTGTTTCTGAAGAAGGGGCAGGAGGAGGGGTGGGGCCTGCTGTTATACTAACAGGCCCTGTGGAAACTAAACTGTGTAATTAGTAACTTCGATTACAGTAAAACTAAAAAAAAACAAAAAGTCTGGCAAATCACAAATGTCCACTGTAGCCCTGCCAAACCTCAGAAGCCCCCTAAATGCCCAACAGTGGTGCTCATGAGGCGCTCAGCCATCGCTCGAAATGAAGATGTGGGCCTATGTTTCTGACCATGGAGAGAAGTTCACGATGTATGAAGTGTAAAAATTAAAGAAAAAAAAAGACAAATTTAAAACTATTGATCTGTAGGCCCCCAAATGCCGAGTCTTTGTGGTTTTCCAGGTGTGCGGAGGAAGTGAAGACCCCGGGAGAAGAGGTGGGGAGGGCTAAAGTGCACTACAATGTGGAGTTCACCTTTGACACTGATGCGCGCGTGGCCATCACCATCTACTATCAGGCCACGGAAGAGTTCCAGAATGGGATTGCCAGGTAAGAACAAGAGACCAGGTGAGCCACGTCCTTCTCGGACAGGCCGGGGTCTGTGCCCTCCGCGCGTACCTGTGGAAGAGAACCTTCTACCAACCAGCTGAGATCTGTTTCCTGAACTCGGATTTTCTTCTTCAGAGCCCCACCTCTTTACCTTTTCCCTTCAAATTGTCCCATCTTGTGCAGAGGCGGAACCTTTTATTCCTTTTTTTTTTTTAATGTTTATTTATTTTCAAGAGAGAGGGACAGCGGAAGCAGGGGAGGGGCAGATAGAGAGGGAGACACAGAATCTGAAGCAGGCTCCAGGCTCTGAGCTGTTAGCACAGAGTCCCATGTGGGGCTCGAACTCACAGACTGTGAGATCATGACCCGAGCTGAAGTCAGACACCCAACCGACTGAGCCACCCAGGCGCCCCTTATTTCATCAAGATGCCACTAAAAATCTATTAAGCTACCTCTCTGTGGACGTGTGGGTTGAATACATAAGCTTAATGGGATTCCCAGGCAAGAGCAAAGGAAACGTTATAAGGGAAATCTTTTCTTTCCTTCTCTCTTCTTTTTCTTTCTTTTTTTTTTTTAAGTTTTTATTTATTTCTGAGATAAAGAGAGGCAGCATGAGCGGGTGAGGGTCAGAGAGAGAGGGAGATACAGAATCCGAAGGAGGTTCCAGGCTCTGAGCTAGCTGATCAGCACAGAGCTCGATGCGGGGCCGAACCCACGAACCGTGAGATCATGACCTGAGCCAAAGTCGGACGCTTAACCAACTGAGCCACCCAGGCGCCCCTTTCCCTCTCTTTTCTATACCTAGAACCTGTTGGTACTGAGACCAGATGTGGGAGGGAGGAAACGGTCAGATCCGTCTGGGCTAGATACTGACTTTTGCTTTGTCTCCCCCTTTGATGGACAGCTACATCCCCAGGGACAACAGCCTCCAGTCAGAGACGGTGCACTACAAGCGAGGCGTCTGCCAGCAGTTCTGCCTGCCCTCCCACACCGTGGACCCCTCAGAGTGGACAGAGGAGGAGGTGAGCTGCCTCGGGGAGTAACAGGCACCTGGGAGAAAGCACAGAGGGTGGGCAGGACCCTCACGTAGACCCAGACGGGCCTCGGGCCTAGTCGGGACTCCGGCCAGCAGCGCCCTGACTGCCCAGATGCTGGGGGGCCATGCTCTCCGTCAGCCCTGGCACCTCTCCGTGCCCTTAAAATACGTCTCACGTCGATAGTTCTTCTGTTCCAAGGTAGCGCATTCACCTCGGGTATTTTGAGAAAGCCGTGTTCAAAGAGAACTTGCCAGTGAGAGAGGGCTTTACAGCCATGAGCCTTTAGAAAGCAACGGTGGCCTTCAGTTAAACAGATTAGGTGGCCTTCGGTTAAATAGACTTAGGTAGCTGCCAGGTTGAGCAGAGAGGAAGTTAATGCTTCTTGAGGAGGCCTCCCTTTCTGATGCGTTACTGTGCCATTTGAATATGTCAAGTCCTTTTCTTTCCCTCCAGCTTGGCTTCGATCTGGACCGAGAGGTGTACCCTTTAGTGGTCCACGCGGTGGTGGATGAAGGAGACGGTAATGGGCGCTTTCTGTCTTCTTTTGCTGTACTTGCAGCCCTTTCGTGGTGCACAGACCGGGCAGCCGCTGTGGCCTCGGGAACAACACGCCCCCTCCATGGAGATCAGGCAGACAGCTTCTCTGTCCCCTTGTCCCCGAGAACAGCCCTGGGTTAGGGGCCGGGCCCCTTCTCCTGACGGCCCAGAGCGTCTGGTCCGCCGGGTATCGGGGAATCGGGGAAGGTAGATGGGCGCCGAGGTGTGGTGTTTGGCTTTCTCCTTCATCCACGTGCCTCTATTTTTTTTCAGAGTATTTTGGCCATTGCCATGTACTGCTGGGCACTTTCGAGAAGGTGAGTAACTTCCCGGCGCCTCACTTCGTTCTATTGAACTGTCTTTTGCGCGGGGACACGCGTAGCCTGTTTGCCGGGCCGGGCCCGTGGGGGGGGGCGTGGCGGGGCGGAAGGGGCACCACACTGGGCGCCACCCTGGGCCTCCTTCCAGCCCCACCACCTGCAGCTCTCAAGGCCTCAGTTTCCTCTTCCTGAAACGGAGGGGTCAGACTAGATGCTTGTGGGGCCCCGCGACGTGAGGCGTGTGTCCTCGCACACGTGTGTCACTGAGAGACGTGCCCGGGGCTCTCCTGCCCCCGCTTCCGTGTTCTAACTGTCCTCGTTCATTCCAGCACACCGATGGCTCGTTCTGTGTCAAGCCCCTCAAACAGAAACAAGTGGTAGGTATTTGAGGGCCCGGGAGTGGCAGCCCCCAGCCTTCTGTCTTTTCATCTCTCGCTTTCTTTTTCTCTTTTGCTAAGCACCCGTTTTTCTCTTCCACTCCCCCCACCCTTTTATTAATCCAAGAGAAGTTAAAAAAAAACAACAAACAAAAAAACGAGCGCTTTTGTGTGTTAGAAACTCCTTGGGTGGCCTGGAAAGAATACTGACTTTTGGTGTCTTTCTTGTTCCGGAATTGTTGGTGTGGAGGCAGCCATTATCTGAGCAAAGGACTTGAGAAAGGAAAGAACAAGATTTGTCTCTTGACATTAGGTTTAGGGAGAACTCTTTTCACTGAAAATGCCAGGGTGAGAAACATTCCGAGCTAAAGGATAAAGTGTCGGGGTCCAATTCAGAGCCGGTTAGGGCCCTTGGCTTAATTTATCCCACCAACTGTTTTTCTAAAATTCCAAGTTTCCTGGCCATCTGCCGTCTTCCAGAATGACCAGCAAGTTAGGCATAATGTCTGCTCCAAGTCCTAACCCCTGCTGTGCGCCGGTGCTTTTTCCCCCACTCTTGCAGGGGTGGGAGGAAGGAGAGTCCTGGAGAGTGGTGCCAGTCCCATTGGTCGGCCCCCCTGTAGATGGGTGACAGATGTCTGAAAGTCTGGGTTATTCATTCTTTGGGGTTAAGTGCTCTCCCCTCTTAATGAGGTCAATTGTAGTCAATAACACCTTAGTATGAATCTGTTGATAATATCCTTTCCATTATAATCTGTAGGTTGAAACAGGTGTTAAGAGGCAGAGCAGGAAACAGATCCCTGAGCCCAGGGTGCTCCCTAGGAAGGCCAGGCTTCGGTGAGTTGTCTCACGGGGAAGCCTCATTCCCCAGAACACCCATCTTGGCGTTGGCAACCGACTGTCAAACTGGAGAGTGAGCTACAAAAGCAGCGACAGGCTAGGTCCGAGGGGAGGGGGTCACTGGGACAGAGGTGAAGCAGAGGGAGGAGTGGGCTCTTGTAAAGAAACAAGAAAAGGGCCTGCTTTGGCTCTGACATGGCCCAGGCTAGTGGGAGTGGGCATTGAACTTGGGGTTTCAAGGAACGGGGCCAAAAAGGGTCCGTGGCCCTGCGGGTGACAGGGTGGCTCGTGCAGGTGGGGGGGCTCAGTCAGCCTTCCCTTCAAGGTCTTGTGGTCTCTCTTTGCTTCTGATGTTTTTCTTTCTCCTCTTTCCCTTGCCCATTTCCTCTTTTTCTTTCTTCGTTTCTCCCTTCCTTCCTTCCTTCCTTCCTTCCTTCCTTCCTTCCTTCCTTCCTTCCTTCCTTTCTCTTTCTTTCTTTCTTTCTTTCTTTCTTTCTTTCTTTCTTTCTTTCTTTCTTTCTTTCTCCCATTCCTTTGTTTTTATAGTGTCTACACTTAACTTTGATTACATAGCCGATGCTTGTGTTTTGATGCATATCCTTCTATTGACTAGTCTCTCCCTTCTTTTAAAAAAATTTTTTAGGGGCGCCTGGGTGGCTTAGTCGGTTAAGCGTCCGACTTTCGCTTAGGTCATGATCTCACGGTTCGTGGGTTTGAGCCCCACGTCGGGCTCTGTGCTGACTGCCAGCTCAGAGCCTGGAGCCTGTTTCAGAGTCTCTGATTCCCTCTTTCTCTGACCCTCCCCTGCTCACGCTGTCTCTCTCTCTCTCTCTCTGTCTCTCCTAGAAATAAATAAAAAACATTAAAAAAATTTTTTTTAATTTTTTAATGTTATATTTATTTCTAAGAGAGAGACAGTGTGAGCAGAGGAGGGTCAGAGAGAGAGGGAGACACAGAATCTGAAACAGGCTCCAGGCTCTGAGCTGTCAGCACAGAGCCCGACGCGGGGCTCGAACCCACGAACCGTGAGATCTGACCTGAGCTGAAGTCGGACACTTAACCGACTGAGCCACCCAGGCGCCCCTAGTCTATCCCTTCTTAACTGTCTCGAACAGTGAGCTGCAGGTCACAGATAAGTGTCGTATTTGTGAACTTTTATGTTCCCTGTTGGGCATAATGGTGGGTGAATCAAACAGTGGATTTTCTTTCCCTGTCAGAGAGAAAACAAAAGTAAATAAAAGCACCGTTTACTTGTGTAGGCCTTTGCTTTTTTTCCATTGTGCATCAGGAGTCCTTGGTTACCAGAAAAGGTTGAGGGGCAAGTTCCCACTTATCTCTGTCGAGTCAGCCTGCCCTTGAACTTCTCTGTTTGCTTTTCAGGTAGATGGGGTCAGCTACCTCCTTCAGGAGATCTATGGAATTGAAAACAAATACAACACCCAAGATCCTAAGGCAAGTCTCATCCAGAATTCCGAATGTGCTTCTCCCTGGGGGTGGAGTGAGAAATGCTCTGATAAGAGCTAGGATCTTGGAGTGTAGCCTGGCCAACTCTGGACTCTGTCCCTCATTTCAGATGCTTGTGCTTACATCACTTCTGAAATGAAGAACACAGGCAGGTTGGGATCAGTTGTTCTGCCCACTTCTGGTCACCCAGTTACCTGGCTGGGGTCGTACAGTGCCCCTGGTGTGGTCTGTTAGGGCCCCGCCAGATCTGTCAGAGAAGACAGATCTGAGCCCCATAGGATGAACTTGAGATAAATAGTTCCAGAAGAAGTGAAACTGAGCAGTGTGTGGGCGTACTACCTGAACGGTAAAGTCAAGTCAAAGTGGGGCGCCAGGGTGGCTCAGTCCGTTTAGCATCTGGCTCTTGATTTTGGCTCCGGCCATGATCTCCCGGTTCGTGGGATCGGGCCCCGCATCAGGCTCTGTGCCAACAGTATGGGGCCTGCTTGGGATTCTCTGTCTCTCTGCCTTACTTTCTCCTAAAAATCAATAGACGTTTTTTGTTGGTTTTTTTATTTTCCGTCCAAAGTAAATGTGAGGTTTTGTTCTTACCACCTGTCTCAGCTCTGCAGGCAAGCTGCTTGCAAAGAAAATGTAGGACATGAAGGTCTTTGTGTCACTGGCTAAATTTCTGTCTCCTGGGACAGGTGGCTGAAGATGAAGTTAGCGATAACAGTGCTGAGTGTGTGGTGTGTCTCTCAGATGTCCGGGACACCTTGATTCTGCCCTGTCGCCACCTCTGCCTGTGTAACACGTGTGCTGACACCCTGCGCTACCAGGCCAACAACTGCCCCATCTGCCGACTGCGTAAGCCCCAGAGCCGCAGGCCAAGCCCCAACCGCAGGGTCTGCGAACAGACCGACGCTGGGGTGGGGGGGGGGGGGTGGCTATGGCTTCTGCCCGGGCTCTTGTGTACCCCTGACTCCTGCATCAGGATGGCCTGATGGCCTGTGTCCTTCTTCCAGCCTTCCGGGCACTGCTTCAGATCCGGGCCATGAGGAAAAAATTGGGCCCCTTGTCCCCAACCAGCTTTAACCCCATCATCTCGTCTCAGACATCTGACTCGGAAGAGCATTCAGTAAGTTGGGCTGGACCCTGTGACCATCTGTGAGGCAGGCGTTCTGGGCTTCCTTGCTGGCCTTTTTTACCCTTCACCCTTCTTTACCTGACTTTGCGACGAGTAATTAAACCTTGGCACGCTGCAGTATTTAGTAAGCTGGCTGACATCACATTGTGTTTAAAACCTACTCGTATTACCACGGAAAATTGGATACTGATCATTAAATCCCCCTTTTCTTCTCTGGGAACTTGCCGTCAGGTTAATATTCACCACGCCCAGCCCAGAGCTGTCTGCGCTCTGCCTCCCGGTGGGGTCCAGCTCTGGAACTCTCCCCCGCCCCCCAGGCAGGAACAAGGGGATGATTGTTTTGGATTTAAATACAATTTACTGTCTTTATCCGAGTCCTCCTCAAAGAAGGTAACTGTATTTCTTTATCCCACGTCTTGCCTTTAGCAACTGGGAGCGAGCGGATGAAATCTTCTTTGAAATCTTTCACGTGGGTTTCACAGTGGAAGTGAGGGTATTAGAATGCAGCTTCGAGGCCGTGTGGTCAGAGGATACACCGTCCTCAGATTCACACACCAATAGAAGAGAGCCATTATTCAGTACCTGGTAGTAGGGTGATTAGTCAGCTATTTAGGGAGGAAAAATCAGCTGAGCGCTTTACTCCTTACCAGATTAACAGATAGAATTCCAGATGGAGTAACTAGTTAACTCTGTTAAACCAAACCACACATTAAAGATGGAGAATAGGGGCGCCTGGGTGGCTTAGTCGGTTAAGCGTCCGACTTTCGCTTAGGTCATGATCTCGCGGTTCGTGGGTTCGAGCCCCGCGTCGGGCTCTGTGCTGACTGCCAGCTCGGAGCCTGGAGCCTGTTTCAGTCTGTGACTCCCTCTCTCTCTGACCCTCCCCTGCTCACGCTGTCTCTCTCTCTCCTAGAAATAAATAAAACATTAAAAAAAAATTTATAAAGAAAAAAAAAAAAGATGGAGAATAAATTATAGGTGATTCTGGGGCGCCTGGGTGGCTTAGTCGGTTAAGCGTCCGACTTTCGCTTAGGTCATGATCTCGCGGCTCGCGGGNAGCCCCGCGTCGGGCTCTGTGCTGACTGCCAGCTCAGAGCCTGGAGCCTGTTTCAGTCTGTGACTCCCTCTCTCTCTGACCCTCCCCTGCTCACGCTGTCTCTCTCTCTCCTAGAAATAAAAAAAAAAAAAAAAAAAAAAAAATTATAGGTGATTCTTTCATTGACTCGGCATGGGAGAGGAGTCTCTAAGCTTAAAAGCAAAGGAGCACTACAAAAAAAAAAAGGGTAGATTTTACTAGATAAAAAATTTATTTTTTTTTTTATTTTAATGCTTATTTTTGAGAGAAAGAGAGAGAAAGACAGAATAATTTTACCAAAAGATAATTTTTTTAAATTCTCAGAAGAGGGAGTACCTGGGTGGCTCAGTCGCTTAAGCGTCTGACGTCGGCTCAGGTCATGATCTCACAGTTCATGAGTTCAAGCCCTGCGTCGGGCTCTGCGCTGACAGCTCAGAGCCTGGAGCCTGCTTCGGATTCTGTCTCCCTCGCCCTCTGCCCCTCCCCTACTTGCACTCTGTCTGTCTCTCTCTCTCAAAAAAAAAAATGAATAAACATTAAAAAACAATAATAATTTTAAAAATAAATAAAATGAGGCACCAGGGCGCCTGGGTGGCTCAGTTTGTTGAGCATCCAGCTTAGGCTCACGTCATAATCTCAAAGGTTTGTGAGTTCAAGCCCCACATTGGGCTTGCTGCTGTTAGCACAGAGCCTACTTCAGATTCTCTGTCCCCCTCTTTCTCTGCCCCTCCACCGCTCTCTCTCTCATTCCCCCCCCAAAAATTTTTAAAAATGAGATAACCATTTTTCTCCTTTCAGATTCAAAAGCTTTTTTTTTTTTTAAGTTTTACATATTTATTTTGAGAGAGAGAGAGCATGAGCAGGAAAGGGGCAGAGAGAGGGAGAGAGAGAATCCCAAGCAGGACTTCACGCTGTTGCCGCACGGGGCTCGAACCCACAAACCATGAGATCATGACCTGAGCTGAAACCAAGAGTCAGCCACTTAACTGACTAAGCCCCCCAGGCACCCCCCAGATTCTAAAGCTTCTGAAAGATACTCCATGCTGTCAGAGAAGCAGTTAAAATAGGTTTTCTGTACTGCTTATAGGAGTGTGACTCGAAGGCTCATGGAAGAAACAACAGACTAGCTGTATATACATAAGCGCCTTAAAAAACTCTATATCTGGTAATCTAAGATCTAAGAATTAAAAAAAAAAATTTTTTTTTCATGTTTATTTTTGAGACAGAGAGAGCCAGAGCACGAACAGGAGGGTCAGAGAGAGAGGGAGACAAAGAATCTGAAACAGATTCCAGGCTCTGAACTGTCAGCACAGAGCCCGAAGCAGGGCTGGAACCCACGAACAACAGGATCGTGACCTGAGTAAGATCTAAGAATTTAATACCAAGAAAACAATGTGGAAAAGAAAAAATTTGTGGGAGCACCTCTCTCCTTGCTAGATGGGATGTTGCCTGATTCACGAATTGCTTAATAAGACCAGTTAAATCTTCAAAAACAGTAAAAGATTTGTACACAAGGCACTCCTCACAGTGTTGCTCACAGTAGGAAATGGTGGACACAGCTAAATCCCTAGCAGAGTAGAACAGGTAGGAAACACGGAAAGTGTGAAGCAGGGACATGTATGAAGGAAAAATCCTCACATCTGCTGAAATAAGCAGGATATAAAATTGTTATTTACAGATAGGGGTGCCTGGGTGGCTCCGTTAGTTAAGCATCCGACTCTTGATTTCAGCTCTGGTCATGATCTCGCAGTAATGAACCTGTATTCCCCGTAACACACATGTATTCCCATTATAATCAGAGAAGTAAACGTTGCTGAGAAGAAGTTCATCTATAAGCGGAATCTAGGAATATGTGGTTCCCTGACATTTTATCTTTCTTTGGGCTCCGTTACAGAAGCTTTTCTTGCCAGACCAGATGTAAAAGAAAACATTTTTTTCAGTGTGGAGTGAGAAACACGATCGTGCCGTAAAACAAAGCGTACTTAATTAATTTTTCAACCTGTCTCTGATTCCTCTAGTCCTCAGAGAACATTCCGCCCGGTTATGAAGTGGTGTCTCTTCTGGAAGCCCTCAATGGGCCCCTCACGCCGTCCCCAGCGGCCCCTGCCCTCCACGTGCTTGGAGACGGCCACCTCTCGGGCATGCTCCCCTCGTACGGCAGTGATGGCCATCTGCCCCCTGTCAGGACACTGTCCCCGCTCGACCGCCTGTCTGACTGTGGCAGCCAAGGAGTCAAGCTGAAAAAGAATCTCTCCAAGTGAGTTTACCGTGTTGCCACCGGGGGCCCTGATGATGGGCTGTCACTCCTCTCTCACTTCCTCAGTAGTGGCTCACGCCCTGGGTCTCCAAGGCAGTGTAGACCTTCTGGGCTGTTCCCAGAGCTTTTTTGTTCCACGCAAGACCTGGGGTGAACACCCAGGCAGGTTACCCCGTCCCATAGGGGAGGAAGGTACTTAGGGGACCTGTGAGCACTTAAAAGAATCCAGACAGGCGAAGCTCCTGTGTTCTGGGGGGAGCGGGACACCCCTAGGGTCACTGATGCCTGAGGGGAGCAGCCTCGTGATCTGCGCCTGTAGCTCGTAAGCATTTAAATCCAAGTAGGCACAAGTCAGGATAAATAAGCTTTCATTGTGTGGCAGAGTTAAGGAGCCTATTTTATAGATGAAAACATTGAGACCCTAAAAACGTCAGTGATTTTTTTCCCAGGTTCAGACACACGTTATGGAAGGAGCTAAAGGTAAAGCCCAGGTTTTCTGACCCCCTGAAGAGCACTCAGTCTCCCCCCAGGGCCCTTTCCCACCTCCGTCCTCCTTCTTAAGACCTGGGCTTCCTCCCCGGCCCCTCTCCGCCCTCTTCTTCCCGCGGAGTCTGGCTCTTCGCGTGGACTCTGGCGCCAGATGCCTTTCCCCCGGACTGTGGCAGGTCTGTGTCCCAGAACTCTTCTGTGCTGCATGAAGAGGAAGATGAGCGTTCTTGCAGCGAGTCAGAGACTCCGCTCTCTCAGAGACCGTCAGCTCAGCATCTTGAAGAGGTAATTTCATTTCCCTCCGTTTCTCGGACGTTGGACCACAGGTTCTTCCGTCCCACGTGCCTCTCCGGCTCCGTCTGCCTTCATTTGCTCCTCGGGCACCTGGGAACAGCCTTTGAGACAGCAGCAAAGATTTCGTTACATCCCTCTTTTCAACAATACATTGCGCCCCTGTTCTTTACCAGGCACTGTTCCGTATGCTGAGAACAGTAGCCGTAAGGAAACTACAGAAGTCCTTGCCCTGGTGGCGCTGATAGTCTTGACATTGGGCTGGGATGGACGCAAAGACAGGAGAGAAGGGGTGTGTTGGGCGGTGCAGTGGATCGGCTCACCAGACAAAGGAGTTCAAGGCCAGAGGCGGGGTTGCTGTCTCTATAAAGTAGTCTGTGAACTGAGTCGTAAGGAGGTGAGAGAGTGAGCGACGCAGATGTCCGAGGAAGCGGGTTGCGGGTGTGGGACCAGGCGGTGGGAGGGCCCGGCGGAGGCGCACCGGGCAGCCAGTGGAAGAGGACGGGGTTTGCCACTTGTGCCCCCCGCTGGCTTCATGACCCCACCCTCTGTACCACGGTGAGCCAGATCGAGTGGAACAGGAGAACCTGACAAAGTGGTTCCTGACCACGGGAGCTCAGGGTCTAGTTGGGGACGGGATGCGCACACAAGTCTCAGCGCTGTGGCCAGCACTGTTTGTGCCGGCGCAGCATGTGGTCGCTGAAGGAGTGAATGCGCCAATCTTTTTTAATGTCTTATTTATTTTGGGGAGGGAGGGGCAGCGAGGGGGGGACAGGATCCAGAGCAGGCGCGCGCTGTCAGCAGCGAACCCGACGTAGGGCTCAGACTGAATCTCGAGATCATGACCTTGGCCAAAGTCACTCAACCGACTGAGCCCCCAGGGTGCCCCAATGATGAATGAATTTTAACTACGGAGAAGCGGCCCAAAACAGGGACAGTAAAGTGCTGTGGCAGAGACGGGAGCAATTATAACCCAAGGGAGCACGGTGGAGGAGTAGCATTTGAGCCCACTCTCGGCGTGCTTTAGATTCCTAGTGAAAGGCGACAGAAGCATTGAGGTGGCGGAGGCAGTGCGTGCGGAGGCACCTGGCGGAGGCTGGGGCTCTGAGCAGGCCCGGGGCGCCGAGAGCTTTGCCGTAGGAAGGCCCGCCTGACGCAGATGCAGAGTGGCAGCCTGGAGACTAGCAGGGCCCTCAGGATGACTCTGCCGGCCCAGGCCCAGGCCCAGGCGGGAAGGAATCCTTGAACTACAATGAAAGCAGAACTCCTTGGGGTGCCCGGCTGGCTCGGCCAATAGAGCGCGCGACTCCTGATCTCAGCGTCGTGAGCTTAAGCCCCACATTGGGCATGAAGCCTGCATAGAACGAAACAAAACCGAACAGAACTCCTGGAGAAAAGGTTCTGGGGGTAGAATCCCCACCTGCTGGGACGGGGTGAGGGTACCGGCCCCGGTGACTGCCGGCTGGGGTGTCAGGAGTGGGTGGGGAGGCTAAGGCAGTGTTGGTGGGCAGTCGACTGAGCTGGAACTAACCTGATACCCATTTGGAGGTGCCCGGCCGGCAGTGAGGCCTCCGCTGCTTTTGTGTTCTCCTTCAGAAGGAAAGTAGTTTAGAGTCCTGGGGAAACCTGGGGTGTTCCCGTGTCACAGCTGCTGGGTGACCTGTGTCACCTGAGCTGCAGTCTTTGTGTGGCCCCAGCAGATGCTGTGCCTCAGGTAGGATGTGTTGACTGAAGTTTGCATCTCCCCTGGGAGACGGCCAGCCCGGGCCAGGGCGGCGGCGAAGTGAGGGCAAGGAAGCCACCCCTCCTCCGTGTGCAGCCCACTGACGAAGGGGCCCTTAGCAAACCCCCCCCCCGGTGACCGCCGCACCCCCTGTAGTCGGTCCCCCGCCCTTACACCCTTCTCTTTGCACTTCACCGTCTCCCTCCAGGAATGTGGCGTAACTCCAGAAAGTGAGAATCTCACCATGTCGTCGTCGGGAGCCATCGACCAGTCGTCTTGCACAGGGACGCCTCTCTCCTCCACCATCTCCTCCCCAGAAGGTACGTGAGGGAGCGGGACTGCACGCGCATCCCCCCACCCCCGCGCCCGGCGCTCCCGACGGTTCCTTCAGGGTGGACTTGGGCCAGCGAGTCGATACCTAAGCTGCCTGACGAACCAGGCCCAAGTCAGAGGCAAGGGGGCCCTGCTGACAGCTGGGGGTGGGGGGGGCTCCTCTCTCTCCAGACCCTGCCATCAGCTGACGGTTCCTGTAACATGAACTCAGAGGCAGGCAAACTCTGGCTCCCTGGGTGGGGCTCTGAGCTCCAAAATATTAAGGAGCAGCACCTTGGAAAACCTTGAGCCTAAACCTTGTTAGGGAAGGGTGTGGTGTGGCCACGGTGGTCCCCACTGCGCAGGCGCAGGGCGGTGGGCCCGCTCACCGAAGCCTGCCTCCCCCGCTCCCCCCGTCTCCCTCCCTTCTTCCGGCCCCCACAGGCCCTGCCAGCAGCAGTCTGGCCCAGTCCGTCATGTCCATGGTGTCCTCCCAGAGCCGCCGCTCCCGGATCAGCACCGACACGGTCTCCTCCATGTCTGGCTCGTACATCGCCCCCGGCACTGAAGAAGAGGGAGAGGCGCTCCCGTCGCCCCGGGCCGCCAGCAGGGCCCCCTCAGAAGAAGGAGAGGTGAGGGAGGAGCCCGGGACGGCCCTTGCTCCTGTGCGCTCTGCACACGCGTCCAGGGAGCCCACCCCTGGGTCTGCGCGTGCCCGCCGGGCTCTGAAGGGGGGCCCGGCAGACGACGTGGGGCGTGGAATCGAACACTCTCCGTCTGCTGCCCTGCGACCCGGGGGCTGTCTGTGCCTTGATTTCTGTTGCTCTGTGGCAGGTGACGCCAGCAGCCTCCCCGGACAGCAACTTTGTCGGCCTCGCCGCCGAGGAGCAGGACGCGGAGGTAATAAACGCCGACAGTAGGGCTGTTTGTGGGGAGGGGGGGGCAGTAGGATGGGGACTGTTCTGGGAGAGGCTTCCTGAGGGGCATGCTTGGCTCAGTTAGGGGCGGGGTATGGCGTGGAGGGAAGAGCGGCCATGCGCTTGCTCCCTGGGCTGTTCCACCGCCCTGTGTGCCGGTCCCGTGTGGCAGGCGCCTACTGGGTCCTGGAGGGAACTCTTCCGGGTCAGACCCTCCACCTGAGTGTGTGTCTCCTTTGTTCACTCAGTGTGTACACAGAATGACTGGCTCGGGCACCTCCTGGCAGAGGATGACATAAAGACCAGTGACCTGGTGTTGACCTCCCCCGACCCTGACTGTATAGACTCAGGCAGGGGCGCCTGGGCTCAGTCAATTAAGCGTCCGACTTCAGCACAGGTCATGATCTCGTGGTCCATGAGTTTGGGCCCCGTGTCAGACTCTGTGCTGACAGCTCAGAACCCCGAGCCTGCTTCAGAAACTATGTCTCCCTCTCTCTTTGCCCCTCCCCTGCTCTCTGTCTCAAAAATGAATACACATTTTTTAAAAAAAAGCTTGTAACTCTTGATCTCAGGGTGGTAAGTTCGGAGCCCCACGCTGCGTGTAGAGATTACTAAATCTCCTGTTATCCAGAAGCCCCACGGTAGGTGGTGCAGACAGGATTACAGTTCAGTACGAGAATGCCCTGACGGAGGCGTTCAGGAAGTGCGTGACATGCCCAGGTCACAGGGAGGGCGCTAGAACTCTCTCTTGAGCCACATGCTCTCATGGGAGTATCCAGATAGGGTTTGGGATCCTAAAGGAATTTCTGAAAGTTTCAAGATCTTACTCTTGCCCTTTTCATTTAACAACTTTTATCTCCACCTTCAAGAGAGAGTATGAGCTAAACTGTTCCCAAGGCTATTCCTGACGCTCCCCGGGCACATCTGTAACGGGCCTCCGACGCGGTCCCCGTGGGCACACCATGCCTCACCAAGCAAAAGCTGTCTCTGCTCAGCCTCCTGGGCCTCTCAGACACGACGGGAAATGTATGCCATTGACGTAGGCCCTGCAGTGAGATACCATTAGGCCAATTACTTCTGTCTTCAGCTGATCGATAGATTCATTTTACTGCTTTTATAGACTCATAGTGCCTTCCTTCTGTCCTAGGGAAATGATGTTATAGATGAAGAGGATGGATCCCCCACGCAAGAAGATGGTAAAAGACCTGGCCTTTTGCTCCCTCTTATTAAATTTCCCTCTTGGGTATTCTTGAAAGGGGACAGAAAGGGACACGGGGATGACACCATGGCACCAATGTGCCTGTTGGGGAAAGGTTGTCTTCTCGATGGAATATCAAGGCGAGCGGGGTGTCTGAGGGCCTTGGTGGGCTTCCTGGCTCTTTCAGGGCCAGAGCATCAAGGACGAAGCTGCTGCAGAAGGTGCACAGGGAGCTCTAAATTCACGCAGACTAGGTTCTGAAGCTTCTTGGGCGCCCTCCATCACCTTCCCTCCCTCCCGCTTCCGCTTTTCAGCTGAGTGCCCCCACCCCCACCCCCGAGCCGCCCCGATGATTAGCAACAGCAGCAAAACAGTTTCCTCCACATGGGAGAAAGGTCCGTTAGGCAGTCGGTTTGGTTTTGCTTTGGTGAAGAAAGTGGCTGACGTTTCACTAGCAGAGGGACCTCCAGAGCCAGCGGGCGCAGAGCAGGTGTGAGAAAGCGACAGACACCAGCAGCTGCCTGTAGATGAGCGTTTGTAGGCCATCGTCAGGACTGTCTTCCCTGTAACTCACGCCCCCATTATATCTTCAGATGGGGGAATTTTGTTTCTAGCAAGGCCAGGAGAGAAGGAATGATCTACAGAGCAGGGAAATGAGACGAGGAGTTGGGGCGGGGGGTGGGGGGGACTGGGAGAATCCCCCTGGGAATGGACTACTGCGCGCTCCAGGGGCCAGCGTCTCTTCCCTCCCGCAGAGGGACACTTCCAAGGCAGACCCGGGCCACAGCCCGGACGCAGATGTCATCCCACCTGCTTCTGCTTCAGCGCTGGCCATTGCTTGGGGAGTTGAGGGGTGTGCGTGCTGGCTTGACTGCTCTCGCCTGACCAGGGAGCCCTGGAGGAGGCTGCCACGCTTGCAGGCCCACCCGAGACAGGGTCGGGCGCTTCGTTCGCTCAGTGGACGCCTTCAGTGCTCAAGGCACCCGAGTTACCCTTCGTGATTGCTTCCTGCCCGTAGACTGTTCGCTTCTGGAAACTGCGGGGTGGCAGGTGGTCTCCGCCTGATGTTCCACGACCCCACGTGGTAGATTTACATTTTTTCCTCTCCCTTTCACCAGGAGGAAAGCGGAGGCTCAGGAGAAGCTAGCAAAAATAACTTCTGCAGCTTTCCCCTTCCCCTCACACGTCTGTAGGTTTCTGGTCAGCCCCTTAAAGCAGCCTCAAAATAACAAATTAAGTTTCATAGGGAAAGAAAACACGATTTTGTGAACGTGGCGATTCTGATTTAATATGCAAAATTATGGAAACTGAGACCTTTAGTTTTTGTTGTATGTATTTATCATTTTACAGAGCCTTGTGGTCATAAACACACCGGACACATACACACACACACACACACACACACACACACAGACCAGGAGCAGGGGGAGTCTCTCCCTCGTTTCCCCCTCCCCCCACCTGCAGTCCACACCGGGTGGGGTTCTCCATTGAGCCGGCGCCCCGCAGGGCTGGGAAGCGGCCAGTTAGGGAGACAGGGCAGGACAGGCCACACACAGATACAGGCTCACACAATTCAATTCCGTTATTGTCCACTCTTTCCCCCACTTAATTATTGTCTTTTTTTTAACATATGATTTGAGTTTTTTTTTGTCTCCATCCTTAAGACTTCTTTTTTTTTTAAGGACAGCAAAGCAGAGAAAAAAAATACTGCCAGCCCCTCTCTAACTGCGTTAACTCCCTTACAGGCCAGAGGACACGCGCATTTCTAGGTATGGAGTGTGACAATAACAATGACTTTGGCATCGCAAGCGTGAAAGCACTGGACAATAAGCTGTGCCCTGAGGTCTGCTTACCTGGTGAGTGGCAGTCTGCTGAGCATGAACTTGGTGGGAGACGCTCCCCTGCCCGCACCCCTACGCTCACCCTGGGCCGCCCGTCCCCTGCCCCGCCCTTCCTGCCAAAAGGCATGGGCCGTACTAGGCTGCTGGAAGCCAGATGCTGAAAGGAAGTGAGGAGGCCTTGGGAGAGTCCTTGAACTTTGTGCAGAGAGCACACCCTACTCTGAGCAAGGATATTAGGACAGGATGGACAGGAGTAAAACACCCCCTCTTTCCGAATTGGCCTGACCGAGCAGCCGTCCACCCCCTTTCTGCAGGCCCCTTGGCGGGGAGCCTGGTCTTGTTTTCATCAACGGAAGTGTGAGGCAGACCCCGCCTCCCTAAGAAGATCTTGGAAAGATAGCCTGAGCCTTTGGAAAGGGGATCCATAGCTCCTCCAAAGGAGGAACAGGGAGGAATTTGAAAGCCGACATTTTTTAAACCAGGAACTGGTTCTGTGAACCAGTGAGCTTTGGGTTACCAGTTGCATTGTACTTACCAGACATGGATCCCAAAGGAGAGGTCAGGGGTCAAGGGTGACTGTGCTCCCCGGAGCCCTACCTTTAAGTTGGGTCAGGACTTTCGATAGGCCCCGTTTTTCCTTCTGATACTGAGCCGACCCCGGGACACCTTCCTATGCAGGAACCGTGTTCATCCCCTGAGCGCTCACCCCTTCTAGTCCATGTGCTTGTGCAAGGGCTCCATGAACCCCTCTTCCGAAGCCGAGTCTCACCCGGGGGGACTAGGTCAGAACCGCCCTCCTGGCTTCACAGCAGAGATCATCATCCACGTCGTGGCATTTGTGATCTCAGTATTCCCTGAAATGGGGACTTAAGTGAGCTTCAGAACGGCCACGTCACGTCATGGGTCCAGTGCTTTACTCGCTCAGCGAAGCAGCCAGAGGCGTCAGGGCAGCGCAGCCTCCTGTGCTGGCCGCTCTCCGGGAGCCTGGGAGCGACCCGGGGCCTCGCACGCCCTGCCCCACACAGGCTCGCGGCAGGAAGCCGTAATCCCCAGAAGACGCTTTCTCCAGCCTTTCAAAGGCCTCTCCGGTTGTTTTTGATCTAGTGTGTCCTGCACATAGTGCCCAGGACTCTTCGTGTTCAGTGAGGCCAAAAGATGCCGTGTCAGGCCTGGACTGGAGCCGTGGGGCCCAGGCACACTTCACTTCCTGCCTTCCCACTCCGCATCTTGCTTCCGTCTGTCCGTTTGTTTTTCACGTCTTTTTGCCAAACGTAAATCTGTCTGTCTGGTTTGTTTCTTTTGAAGCTCATTTATGTTATGTAGACCCCGTATGGAAGTTCATGTTCACTCCGCGCCAGCACTGTCCCCCACTCTCTCCCCCGCCCCAGCCACGCTGTGCCCGACACCAAGCTTGCGGGGTGTGCGCACATGCCAGAGGCTCCTGCCTCGGTCTCGGTCCTAACTGGCGAGGGCCTGCATTCGATAGGAGATCTTCCGAGAAAGAGATATTTGTCACAATAGATGAGTCCCCGTTCCACCCGCAACGGGGATGCTTCCGTGCCAGCCGTTCTGACGGGGAGTTGTTTGGAATTGGCATATCCTGGGGCACGAGTCCGGAAAGATGACATCTCTGTCCTCTCTGCCCTGTGTCTGTGGCGGCTCGCCAGCAGCCATCTTTCTGCTAGGCTCCTGTCTCCCTCGAGGGGCTCCCCCACGCACCCCTGTTTTTCAGCAGAGGGAGCTGCGGGGGGCAGTTTTAGCCAACCATGCTGGTGGAAACTGGCTTCGTTCCTTCTGCTTCCTCCTCCCCCCACTCTCTCTGACCACCCTGCTTGTTGATATTTATTCCACGTACGGGATTGCGGGACAGGTTCCTTACGGGTCCCTCGAGAGCCAGCACGCTGAGGTTAAGCTGGGTTCACAGTCCAGGCCAGACGCGCAGCCAAATGCCTGTGACGCCTGTCGGGAGGGCGACTCGGGTATAAGCACCAGAGGTGTCCCCTTGTACTCTGTCACCGCAGGTCTCGAGGGCTCTTAAGGGAGAGGGAAAGCGCATCTGCTTTCTCGGCAAAATGTTCCTCCAGTTCTCCTGGTAGCTGCGGGCTGGGGAACTCTCTGGAAGCGTCTGTTGGGTTAATAACAGGAGTATCCACTTTGGTAGGTCCTGTGGAATAAATAGGCCTCTTCCCGCTCAGCTATTAAATCCGGACGGCATCCTCTGGGTGCCCGCAGGCTGGCTCGGCTCCGTGTCCTGCGGCCTTCAGGACAGCTTCTCAGGCACTTGGTCTTTGCTCTGTTTCCCTCTCCACGCGGCGTCGCTCCCATCACGGAGAGCCACGCTCCCTTCACGGAGAGCCGATGAGAAGCAGAGCCAAGGGGAGCATCCCGCGCTGTCCACCTGCCCCATGCCGCGCTCCCCATGCTCACGCGCGCTCTGCTGGGAGACCCGGCCCATGACGAAGACCACGCAGGTCCCCGTCCTCACCACTCCTGTCATGCTTGTGGGAGTGTCGCTGAGAGGGCACCTGTGGCTTTCCAGCCCCTCTTCCCCTAAGAAGCTTCTGAGCCTTCTTGAGCCCCAAGACCAAGGGGGTGCATTGTTCCAAGATTGTTCTAGAAGGTCTCAAAGGGACGGAGTCTAAGTCGACTGGTGCAGGTGGTGAGCAGGTCGGGACCGTGAAGCCAGGCTGAGTAGGTGCGGCTACAGGGAATTGGATGAAATATCACAGGTGGCAACAGAGTGGCCAGGGGACCAGCCAGAAGTCTGTGGAAAGGTTCTGGGTAGTGTAGGTGATAGGGAAAAAGATCTTTTAAAAAAAGCAAAAATAATTTGGGTTTGTCCGTGGAAATAGAAAGATATTTTTAAACGACCGCCTTGTGCCAGAGGGACCATATCCGGCGAAACAGCAAATCCTACAGAATCTTGAAATCCAGTTCCCTCCTCTCTTCAAGCCTCGTAACCCAAGGCTGAGATACTGCTCGCAAAGTGCCCACTTCAGAGACACGAAGGAGGTGTCTCTTTCCACCGGAAACTCCATGAGACAATCAAACTGTCGTAGTGCCTACAATTGGTAGAGCTGGGAAGGGTGTGCAGAATCCCCCTAACGACGCTCCCAAACCTTCCTCTAGGGGTCTCTCCACCTTCCTGTTTCTCATCCTCGAAATGGGAACCGAAGGGAAGGCACCTTGATCGGATTTTCAGTCAACGAGCTCTAGTTTCCGGCTCAGGGGCCGGACCAAGGGGGAGCGCGGGCTCGGGGAGCCCTGTCAGGGAGCCGGTTCCCCTCTGCACACATGACCAGGGGGCGGCAGCAGGGTTTTTGCTGGGGGCCCGTGGTCCGAGTCCTTTGGGGCGTGGGGAAGGGCAGCGTGTTATTCCTGCCAACCCTCCTGTGGCCTCGGGGTGCATCAGGAAGCCAGCGAGAACAGACCCTTGAGGTCTGAGTGCCGAGGCTATTCCGGAAGGAGCGATTCCAGGCCCTGGCTCAGGGTTCTAGAGCGGTGGAGTCTGTAGCAAGAACTCGTGTGAATTCAGAGTCAGGACAGGCTGTCAGTCTGGTGTTCCGTGGCGTGCTGGTTGGTGGCGGCGGTGGCGTGGATTTGATTTTGTGTATGCATGTGTGTCTTCTCTCTCGTTCACCGTTTACTTTTGGTCTTTCCCACCAAACAGCCGCAGTTCCGGAGTCCTGCCCCATAAACATTGAAGAATAGGTATGAGATCTACCAAATTATATAAGTGGACAAACCACTCATTGTATTTGGGGGTTCCTGACGTAACGGGCAATTCTGCCCTCTGTTCACTGGAGAGAGCCACCCTTAGGGGAGAATGCACTTTGACCCAGGTCCTAGACTTCAGGGAATAGAAATCTCCAACTTCCACCCAGAATCGAGAGATACCTGTGAATTTTCTGTTCCGCTCACATCTCTTCCCCGGGGGCCCACCTCCGCACTCTGCCGCAAGAGCCTTAGGATGGCTGATCCCACCAGGACACTTATAGCTACTTGATCCCAGTGTTCAGGCCATGACAGGGCCTCAGCGAGCCCTGGTGTGAGGCTGAACCCCTCAAACACGAGCACAGTGAGCCTCAGGCCCTCCCTCTGCACCCAGTCGGCCTAGCCGGTCTCCTGCATGTCCTCTGAGGGGCCAGGCCTGCCCCAGAAGAGCTTGCAGTCTAATGAAAGAGGTCAAGGGTCTGGGGATTCCCTCGAAGCCTGAGGCGCAGTGTGGCGGCAGTCAGGCCGGGGGGTGCGGGGAGGTGCAGCCTGGAGGTCTGTCCGTCAGTCAGTCATGAGGCGCGAGTGAAGGGCAGGTTTTCTGGCAACAGACAGATAGGGGGTAGTGATGGATTAAATACAGAGCATGAAGGACAGAGGAGCCAAGAATGGGCATCCGGACCAGGCGGCTGGTGCCTCTTGCACAGGAGCCGTGGTGGGTTTGGGGGAGGACAAGAACTTTAGTAGGTGCTGCCTGGGCGACCCCAAGGCCCTCGGGCTGGTCTCTCCTGGGGTTGACTGTGACCCCAGTGGGCTGCCCAGAGTTTGGGTTAGCTCGGGGTTGATGGTGACCCCAGTGGGCTGCTCAGGCAGGGCAGGGGGCGGGGCACAGAGATGAAGAGCAGCAGGTGGGCCCATCACACCTGCGGCTCCCCCCACCCTCACCTTTCTGTCCCGGACACCCTGCTGGGCAGCCAGCCCCTTCCTGCCCCACCTGGCTCCCACAGCAAACAGTGACACTGGGCCCAAATTAACACGCTCTTCTCACTCTCCTCCATTGCTTCCTGCCCTGGGGAAAACCTCAGCCCCACAACATACAGGCAAACTTCCAAAGATACAGGAGTGGATCGCAGGGCACGTGCACAGAACAAGAAATGGCCCTGCATGGTCCTCTCTGCGGTCCACAATGGCCGTGACCGGGTCTAGCCCACAGGACAGGGACAGCCCCCCGCCCCCACGGGCACCCACCTCGCCCTACTCTCTCCCTCGCTGTGGCCTGCACGCACATGGGGGCCTCAAGTGACACGCATCCTGCTAGCTTCCGAGCCAAACTCCTGGGCTGTCCTGCCGGAGACGCCGTCCGGACCTGAGGGGGGCCTGGCTCCTATACCCCTTCCTTTTCTCTTCTCCAGGCACCTGGCAGGCTGATGACAATGTTGTCAGTCGTCGGCACACACAGCGCCCGCGCTTACCACCCGGCAGCCTGGAGGACCCCCAGGACAGGCCTTGCGTGTGGGGTCCTTTGGCCGTCTGAGAGCCCCGCCCCTGTCCCTGGGCTCCCCCCCACCCTCACATTCCATCCTGGCCTCACTGGACTGCTGGCCGCTTGGGCGACCTCCGCGAAGCCACGAAGACTGTCTACACCTAGACGGGGAAGTCAGCCCCCTGCTCCCAGCCCGGACTTCTCCATAACCACCACCCCTCCCCTCCCAGAAGGAATGGGAAGCCTCTCTCTCCTCGTGGGCCAGAGCGTCCCCGTGAGCTGCGGCTCCTGACACCTTCCACAGGGACTCTCTGGGAGGTCCCCGCCTTGACCTTCGGGTGGACCCGAGGCCCGCAGGCCGGTTGTTCCCTGTGCACCTTTTCCTCCTTAGGGGGCACAACCAAGAAGACCTGGAGTCTTGGCAGCTTCCTTACGAACACGCCTCTGGCATTTTCTGGAACATCAATAAGCAATTTGAAACCTCCGGCGTGGGGTGGGGCCGGGGGTGGCCCCTGTGAGAGGGGAAAGCCGCGTGGCGCCGTTAGCCGAGTTTCCCTCAAAAACATCAGGAGCTCCTTTCTCCACGACGAGAAACCGCAGCAACCAAAAGGCTGGTTGAGAAACACCGTCCTTGCCTCTGGTCACCGAGCTAGTCCCCGGGGCCTCGTGCGTCTGTCTGCTTAGGAAGGAGGCCTCGAATCTGAGAAATCCCCCCACTACAGGATCACCCTTGGGAGAGTTGTTGACGATCAGGTGCATCCCTGAGGGCCTGGGGCTCCATCTTAAGGTGACTTTTCAAAAAACACATCTTCGACCACCTCTGCGTGCCGGGCAACCGCGTGGGGAGCTGTCGGCCGCTCTCACGTTTCATCACTACAGCCGGTCACGTGGTCCTCTTCTACCTGATGTCCCTGTCCCCACGCCTTTTTGTGAATAGTTGAAGAAACAGGCTGAGAGAGGGATGGAACAGGGATTCTCAAGCTGGGGCCTCCCCGCCCCAAGTGTTCCCCTTCCCTGCCTTCCGGACCTGCCGAACCCGAGCCGGGGAGGGGGAGTACTCATCCCACGGGTTCTTTAGGGACGCAGAGATTCTACATGCCCGCCCCCCGGCCCCCAGCCCCGTGCGAGGCGCGCCAGCAGAAGTCTGAAACAGCAAGACCAGGCTGCAAGCTGCTGGCAGTTCCTGCTCTGACACTGGTGGTGTCGGTGGGCTCCACACAGTTCCTGGACGGCCGTGTTGTCTCCTGGCTTTGGGAAAAGGTGCTCTTTCAGTGGAGCAAGAGCTAAGGAAGCAAGAGTTAGATACGGCGATTGGTGAGGCCCCAGAGCCTCACGACCATCACGATGGCCTGTCTTTGTACTTGGAACCGTTATCCTGGAAGAGTAACGGGTCGTTTCCAACACCCCAAAGAGAGCCCCGTGCCCAGGGATTCTTCCGTGTGGCTTCTTTGCACTGATGGGCGGTGGTGACCCTTGCCTGGCCGAGTGGTTAGGACTCAGGCCTGCCCTGGTTGGGGAAAGCCTGCTGTCCCAACAGACACGACATGAGTCCCCCGTGAATCTAAGCTTCTGTCTGGAGTCCCCATGTCCCCTTCTCTGAGGCCCTGCTGGGGCTTCTGGACTCCGCTGCTTCGGGCCCCAGTCCTTGTCCTTCTTTCCCCCAACATTCTTACGGTCCCTTTTGCGGTTGAGATTGGAGCAATAACCCCACTTCCTGATTTCCTTGAAGTGTAAGCCCCAGGGAATGGGGATCTTCCCTCGGGCCTGGGGCGGGGGCGCACAGCCTCCCCTCCCCTCGCGGCAGGTAGTAGTCACCGTGTGGTGTTACCCGAGATGAAGGAGATGTAGGTAAACAGCAGCCACAGTGGCCAGGAGCCCTGAGAAGAAGCCATTAGCATCATCCCTCCTGGAGGCTCTGGGTCCTTCCTGACAGCACAGGCTGGGTCCTCTCCCATTAACAGGCTCAGGAAGATTCTTTAAGGCCTTGGTTCCGTAATCAAGACATGCCTGGGTCAGAAATGGTCCTTTCACTCCTGTTTCTCAGCCTGATCCGCGTGTGTCTCTGTCTCTCCGTCTCTCCTACCTCTTTGTTCTCCTTTGGCTCTTAGGCAAACAGAAAGATCCCACCCAAAGGAGCTGGTCTTTAGTCAACTCAATCAGGGAACAGGGCAGCTCCTGACCCTACTGTGCCCAGTCTGTCATCTGGAGACAGTTGTGTTATAAGCAACTGACCCAGAGAGGACGGGATGGGGCCTGGCCTCTCACACAAAGGCACAGACTACCTGGAGGCCTGTGGCTCCTGCCAGCTCTGGTCCGAGCTCTCCCGTGGCCTCCAGGAGGTGTGCCAATTCCGGGCGCACAGAGCCTGCCTTCCTCCTCCACCCAGTTCCACCATCAGAGTCTATACCCGCACTGGGGTATCTCCTGGGCACAGATCCGCACACTTTGAGCCGTCTCACCTGGGGAGAGTTCGTGTCCTGTCCACCTGATCTTGGCATGCTGGTTGATCACTTTGCTTTAGGACCTGCACACCTGGCGTGTGCAAGTGTGTGTGTATGTATGTGTGTGTGTACTGTTTGTGCCATCTGTGTACCCCTCCCACTCCGTGGGGTACATTCATGGGCACACGACAGTGGGGACATCAAGGATGCAATATTTATGGATTGTTGCATGATTCTTTAAAACGAATAAAACTGTTTACAAGGGAAGGAGAGCGATGAATTGTGTCCTTGGCTTATTTGTGAAAGTTTCTGTCCGACTTTCTCCAGCACTCAAATATTTTTACACAACAGAATGTCCAAGTGGCGAGTGGGGGAGGCAGAAGGAAGGAAAGCCCTGCTCCCGGGTGCGAGGTGGGAGTTGAGAAGCCACCCGGTGGACACAGGTTCCCCCCACACACACACACTGCCCTCCAGTTTCTGGGCAGAGGCCTGAGTAGGGAGCCCTCACCCCACCCTCACCCTTAAACCGGAGAACTTCCGTCACTGCAGCTCTTCAATAATTGAAGAGCAGGAAAGCTGGTGACCGACGGGAGGCCAGGGGAGGGGAGGAAGAAGTCCCCGGTGTCCCCCCTACCTTAGTCCATGCCACTTAAAAGTTGGTGAAATGAAAGAGGCGAATGACCCTGCTAGGAGAATTGGGCAAGTCCGTGACTTTGGTGAGTTTCACTCAGCCGCTTTGTTCCCTCCGCTATCTGAAAAGGGGTGGGGGGGGGGAGGGATGCTTCCGCAGAAGCCTCTGGAAAGTCCGCTTCCGGGAACCTTGCTGAGTGCAGGGGTGGGGAGGGAGCCGCTTACTGGGAAACCCTGCCCGCTCTGCTGTGCCTGGCATCGGTGCAGCCATTGCTGCGGACGTGAGCGGCAGGTGGCATCGGAGAGTCAGCCCTGCCCACGGACGCCCCGGCGACAGTCAGGGTCGGGAGGGTGGGAGAGGGCACAGGAACGTGAGCCCAGAGGAGGGGAAAGGAGACGCAACCACACGGCTCCCGAGCCTGAGCCTGGGCCCCCCGCGCCCCTGGCTCGGTCCGCGGAGCGGTCGACGCCGGGGGCAGCCGAGACAGGAAGGAAGCGAGGGCGGGAACGCGGCTGCCCGGCGGACGGCTCGCGGGCGTGCCAGGGGCCTCGGGCGAGAGCCGCGCGCTTCTCCGAGCCCTGCGCGGGGCCCTCGGGCGGGAATGCGCGGGGCCGGGACGCGGTGGCGGGTAGGGGGCTGGGTGGCGCGGGAGAGGGCGGCAGGAGGAGGCAGTTCGGTGAGAGTTACCGCCAGAGAGAGTGGCTAGAGCCCGCGATCTCCTTAGAAACGCACTGGCCAATAGCAGCAGCGGAAGCTGTTTATGGGGGCGGAGCGTCGCCATGGCAGCAGAAGAAGCCTTTGCAGCGGCTACTTAATGCCGGTCCGGGGGCCACGGGCGCTTAGAGAGGCGCCGTCGGGCGGGGGGGAGAAAAGGGGCGCTGACGGGGCCCTCGAGCTGGGGACAGAGAGCCGCGGGGGGTGGGAGGAACTCCTTCCAGAACCTTCCTTTGGCCCGGGCTGCGCTCTGAGCCAGGTAAGGGACTGAGACGGCTGCTGGCCGCGGGAAGGGAGGGTGTCCGTACCAGCCCGATCTCCCATCCGTCCTCGGCCGAACTGGTGGACCCGGGAATGACATCTGAGTTGGGAGGGACACTTACTTCTCGCTCCCTGTAATTACTATCCTGTTCCCTCCCTTCCCCGTTTATCTCCCATCCTAATATTTCTTTCCCAAGATCAGACGACTTCCCCGTCTCAAGTCTTTGCCCTCCTGGGCTCCCTCGCCCCACTTCCATTTGTTGCGGGAGGGTTGATTTCCCGCTCGTGGGGAGAAGGTGATAGCCTCGGATACCCCTACCCTCTTCCCTCATTTGGCTAATAAAGAAAGTCTCTTCTAAAATCTCAGAGAGGAAAAGAGTGAGACGGACCCAGCGGGGGTCGGACCCCAAGGCACTGGTTCTGTTTCCCAGACCTCGGCCAGTAAAGATCCCCTCAGCAGCGGGGACGGTTTTAGAGGAGCCTCCCCCACCTCGCCCCCACCCTGCCATCCAGGGTGGGGGAGGTGCTCAGCTCCCGTCCTCCGTGGTCCCCCGCAGGCATCACACTGGTCTCCCGAGGAGGCGACCCCCTCGCGGTCGCAGGATGGAAGCGCGCGTCCCCGAGGCCTTGTAACTGGAGCCGCAGGAGTCGGGGGGCCCGAGAGCGCGGCGGGCTGCCCACGCCTCAGCCCGTGGATGTTGACCGCCCCCTCGGAGGGTCCCCGAAGCCATGGCGGAAAGCTGGCTACGCCTCTCGGGGGCTGCGGCGGCGGAGGAGGCAGGGCCGGAGAGCGGCCTCGAGGAGCCGGACGCCCTGGATGACAGCCTGACCAGCCTGCAATGGCTGCAGGAATTCTCCATTCTCAACGCCAAGGCCCCTGCCCTGCCGCCGGGGGGCACCGACCCCCACGGCTACCACCAGGTGCCAGGCTCGGCCGCACCGGGGTCCCCCCTGGCGGCCGATCCCGCCTGCCTGGGGCAGCCGCACACTCCGGGCAAGCCCACGTCGTCCTGCACGTCGCGCAGCGCGCCCCCGGGGCTGCAGGCCCCGCCCCCCGACGACGTGGACTACGCCACCAACCCGAGCGTGAAGCCGCCCTACTCTTACGCCACGCTCATCTGCATGGCCATGCAGGCCAGCAAGGCCACCAAGATCACCCTGTCGGCCATCTATAAGTGGATCACGGACAACTTCTGCTACTTCCGCCACGCTGATCCCACCTGGCAGGTAGGGGAGGCGCGGGTGGTGGCCGCTCCCTCCCCGCTCACCTCCTTTCTCCCCACACGGGGCGGGCTGACTGGACTTGGGTCCCATGTCCGCACGCCAAGCAGGCTCGCTGTGCAGCCAGGGCCCCAAGAGAGGAAGGCCATCGAGGAAGGACCTCAAGGGGGCCCAGGGCTTGGAACTGCCCCTCCTCTGATTTCTGAGAGGGAGGAGGGAGGGTGTTTAAAGGGGGTTAGAAAGAATGCAGACCCCAGATTCATGGGGAAAGCACCTGTCACTCATCCAGTAGACCCAGCCCAAAGACCAGGGCCACATTATGTGTGGACATGGCCCCCTAAGACAGGGTGATGGACTAAGGGACACATTTTTGTCCCAAGTCCTAGAATTCCTAGACATCGCACCGCCCAAGGACAGTCTGTCAAGGCCCAGCTCAGAATTGGATGAGGGGTGAGCCCCCACCAGGCTCCGCATTCTGCCTTGTCCCAGTCGGCTGGTGGAGGCGGGGGTGGGGTGCGACATGGCGACATGGCGTGTGAAAGCAGGCTGCGTCCCCGTGGAGGGGCTGTGCGGCCTTCCTAAGGCTGCCGCCCCAGCCCCTCACCCAACTCCTCAGTTTCCTGCCTCCTGTTCTCCCCCTCTTCTCAGTCAGCCTCCCTAGGGTGACAATTACCTGAGCCAGGTGCTTTCCACAGGGGCTCTCCCTGCCGCGCGCACTGGCTTCATGTTCCAAGTCTCCGGAACCTGGCACAGAGCAGCCAAGGGGCCCGAGCCTCCATGTAAACATCCCAGCCTTGCCCCTCTACCCACCCACCCACTCTACCTTCTGGGCCCTCAACCCCTGTCCCCCAGGACGGTTTGGACAAGACTGTGCTCCTTGGAATGAACAAGGCAGAACGATGACTTGAGGCCAAGCAGACATGAGTCTTCCACTTTAGATCAGGGTCTAGTTGGAAAGAGAGGCCCCAGAACGCCCAGACTCTTCCCTGGGGCACCCACGGAGAGCAAGCTGCAGAATCCCAGCCCCAGGCTACTCCACGTTTGTTCGGGGGCCCTGACTCTGCGGTGACTGTCATTTGTCCCTTGATGAGAAAGCAGAGACCCCCTACCCCCTGCCCCAAACCTCTGAAGCTCAGGCGTCAGGAAATGGGGGTCAGAAATGAGTGCTGTGCTCCAGGCTGGGTAATAATCAACTGAGGCCTCATAGCCTGGAGGGGAGGAGGGGACCATGGTGGGTGGGGGGCGGGAGTGAGGGCCTGGGCCAGCAGCCGGCCCAACAAACAAGGCAAGTCATCAGAGCCCCCCCGCCACTTCATCCCTCCACACGCTCCGAGCACACACCCTCACACCCTCCGTAGCTCAGCACCCCCCTCCGTGCCCACCTTTCAACCCACCCACTGTCTTCACAAACAGGGCCTGCCAGGCCCAGGCGGGGTGAGATGGCTGTCCAGGCCCTGGGGGAGCTGAAGCCTTTGGCCAGAGACCGCAAGCGGTGGGGTAAGGGAGGGAGGGCAGGCCGGGGTGGCACTCAGGGCTCGGATGACTGAGCAGACAGATATCCCGGCAACAGGGAACAAAAGCCCCCGGCAGCACTCCTGGCCACCGATGCCTTGTGGCCGGTGTCCCAGAGCCACTGGTCAGGGCCGTGCGCGCGTCAGCCCCTGCTCCCCTGGGGGCAGGAACACGAGTGGCCCCCCATCGGCGGCCCTTCCCGCTCACCCAGCCGACCTCCTTCTCTCCTCTCCCTCCTCCCCCTGCACAGAATTCCATCCGCCACAACCTGTCCCTGAACAAGTGCTTCATCAAAGTGCCTCGGGAGAAGGACGAGCCGGGCAAGGGGGGCTTCTGGCGCATCGACCCCCAGTACGCCGAGCGGCTGCTGAGCGGGGCCTTCAAGAAGCGGCGGCTGCCCCCGGTCCACATCCACCCGGCCTTCGCCCGCCAGGCCTCGCAGGAGCCGGGCGCCGCCCCTTGGGCCGGGCCGCTGACCGTGAACACCGAGGCCCAGCAGCTGCTGCGCGAGTTCGAGGAGGCCACCGGGGAGGCGGGCTGGGGCGCGGGCGAGGGCAGGCTCGGCCACAAGCGCAAGCAGCCGCTGCCCAAGCGGGTGGCCAAGGTCCCGCGGGCCCCCAGCACCCTGCTGCTGACCCAGGAGGAGCAGGGCGAGCTGGAGCCCCTCAAGGGCAACTTTGACTGGGAGGCCATCTTCGAGGCCGGCACTCTGGGCGGCGAGCTGGGCACGCTGGAGGCCCTGGAGCTGAGCCCGCCGCTGAGCCCCGCCTCGCACGGGGACGTGGACCTCACCGTCCACGGCCGCCACATCGACTGCCCCGCGACCTGGGGGCCTCCGGTGGAGCAGGCGGCCGACAGCCTGGATTTCGACGAGACTTTCTTGGCCACGTCCTTCCTGCAGCACCCCTGGGACGAGAGCGGCAGTGGCTGCTTACCGC